AACCCCTTCCCCGCAGGACGTTCCCTATTGCTTCTACCATCCTAAGCGGCAGCCCAATCAGGAGAAACACACACACACAAACAAACACATACAAAAAAAAATCCCTCACGGTTACCCTGAAATTCGCAGAAAAATTTGCCTCTAATTATACGGGTATCATATTGGCCAATGTGGAACTAGTGAAGATATAAATATTCATCAAACTTTTTCTTTTCTTTTTTAGAAATGATCAAGCAGCTTCAAATCATGTTTTATATGGATATAGTTGTCCTTATTCAAAATTAAATAGTAGGAAAAAAAAAGAAAGGGAAAGCCGCGTTGCACCATTGTCACGGTGATTTTGCCTTTCCCTTTCTTCTAGATATGTATATATTTCAATACTTTGTTGTTTTTTGTTTTGTTTTGTTTTGTGTTAAGTTCTTGTTGCCTTGCCTTATTGTGCTCTGTGCGCGTGTATGCCGTCATTTTTATTTATTTATTTATTTTTTGTTTTTGTTACTGCCTGTTGATTTTCGTGTGTTTGTGTTGTTGTTTTTCTTTCTGTTTCTCGCTTTTAGTTTCTTTTGTTTGTTTGTTTCGTTGATGCTTTTTTTTTGTTTGTTTTTGTTTTTTTTGTTTTGTTTTGTTTTTGTTTTTTAGGCAATCAGCATCTCCATGGAAGCATTTTTGTTTTGAGTGAAATCGGTGTTATTCCGTAGGGGTTCTTCCGGCAATAGCAAGGGCGGTAAAAATAGAAGGTTTACACTGAGCCTCTTGGAGAGCCTTTCAAGCTCCGCGAGAGTGGCCTCTTGTGCAAGCCGGCGGTCATCCATAACGTACGACGAGTACGTGAAGGACGCAAGGCCAATCACCACAAAGTGTTGAAGCGTGCCATCCTCCGTAGGAATCCGAACGGCATAGCGACGGAAGGGAATGGACATGGCTCCGACAAACCACACACCGAGAGCAGATACATTTTCCAAGGCTCCTCGGCAGCGGAATGCAAGCTGGGCTTCTTCTTCTTCCTGGATCTCACCGAAACCATTATCGTTAAGGTGCTCTTTTAGCTGCAGAAGAAGCATCCGCCAGGTGTGACGCACGGAGTGAATAACAATTGGGTGATGGTTCATCATTTTGGCATGTTGAAGGCTCTTCTGAGCGGCAAGATGCATGAGGCATTTTACTCCTATAACTTTCTCTCTGGCGCTCATTGCGTTCTTCCTCTCGCTCGCCTCTACAATTTCACGAAAACGGGCTTGTTGGTGCTGGCGAACGGCGTCACGTTGCACATCCATGTCGGTTCGCTGCTGCGGGATGTATTTGTCTAAGAAGGCCCTTGCAGTCGCAGCGTCAGGATGCTTTGAGGCATGCGAAACACAAAAGGTATTTCTACACCTCGGCAATGTGTTTAGGAGTGGTGCTTCCACAAGCCGTTTTGCCGCAAAGGCGTTGCTTGTGCGAGCATACTCCACAGCCGCTGTCGGAGCCTCCAGGACGCAATCCATTACAAAAGTAATAATAAAAAACAGAAAAAAAATTTTGTTTTCACCCCCTTAAACCAAATACGCTTTCGGCGCACCTAACTTTTATCTTCAACTGACCACCAGCGGGAGGCACAAGAAAAAAAAAAAAGAATCGGAAAAAATGATGCAGGAGACAAAGTTTGTAAATTGTCATAGAGGGGAAAAAAAAAAACTCACACACAACCAATTAGACAAATGTGCATATATATATATATATATATATATTCAGCAGAAGGAGGCCTCCTCTATTACACTTTCTCCCTCAAACCATTCCAAGGGAAACAATTTTTTTTAATTTATTTTACGGGGAAAATTATTCTTTTACTCCATTTACTCTGTTCCTATTGGCGTCTTTTCTTCCTCTTTCCCGTACGCTTCTTTCTAACACAGAAAATTGTCATCAAAGTCAATATGTCACTAAACATATACCCATTTTTGCCTTCACATATACTCCATAATAAATAGAGACACACGGGGGGGTGGGGAGAAGAGCACCGCTATTATTCCCATTCTGTCGTTCCAGGTGGTTTCGCTGTAAGATCATACATGACACGGGATAAAAAATCCAGCTGCTGCAAAGAATTCACCATTTCCTCCAAGGCGGCCAGTGGCATCAGTGGTGTCCCGGGAAGCGCCGGAACGCCCGTCATGAAGTCGTTTGTAACAAACGTGCGTACCACAACGCTGTATTGACCTTTTTCCTCAAACCCAAGAGGTATGAGAACCACAGGAACTTGGCTCAGCCGACGCACAAGGTCGTGTTTGAGTAACGTGGAGTTCACAATGTCGTCTGCAATACGTAATCTGTCGAGAGTAGTGGGATTCAGTGTCGTCTTCGTGACACTATGCGGAGAATCCTCCCTTTTCGGTCCAAACATAAACACCACGCGGTTCACATGCTGCGCAACCTTTGGGATAGCAAGTGCCAAACGACTGAGTGCCTTCCACTCCGCTTCCACCGGAAATCGACCGGTAGAAATAGCCACAGCATAGGCGTACGTTCTGCCATCACCCTGCACACCAACAGTGCGCACTGGCAGAACGCAAGAAGCCGGTTGAAGATCCCTCAGGGCCTCGCCAAGTGGCCTTGCCAGCTCAATACTTGTGTCTCCCCTGCAGAGTGCCTTCACAATTTCATTTGTTGACTGATAAAATTCGTCTTTGTGCGGGGTGCCGTTGCTGCATAGGACGCGGATGGCCAAACCAGGCCCAGGGAAAGGCTGCTGCTGCACCAAATTCGGTGGAATGCCAAGCCGCACACCCAACTCCCGTACCTCATCCTTGTGATAGTCGCAAAGGGGCTCTATAATTCGTCCAGCATCACGCAACTGACGAACAAGAGCGGTATCGTTATGATGTGTTTTAATGGCATCCGCTGTAAGACTGGCGTACGATTAACCGGACTCGATGAGGTCGGGGCGTAGCGTGCCTTGGGCAAGCAACAGATTATTCACATCCAATTGAAGATCTCGAATAACGGTATCGCACACAGACATAAATGTATTGCCAATTATCACACGTTTTTCCTCAGGATCTGTCACCTCACAGAGTTTCCCCGTTCTATACGGCGCGCATTTGCGCCTGGCGGGCATTTCAGTCGTCGCTTCTGCAAATTGCGCACGGGCATCCACGACAACCACAGACACCCCGGCCTCCCTCAAAGCGGCCACAACTTCTTCAGTCTCTCTGAGACGCATAAACCCGTGATCAATGTGTACACACACCACCCGCTCAGGTCCGAGAGCCTTCAGCAGCAGCACCGCACACACAGTGCTGTCAATTCCACCAGATGCTAGGCACAATACCTTTTGTCCTTGAGCAGTGCGTTTACGAATCATGCGAAGTGCAACCATCTCCCGGTCCTCCATGGTGAAGTTAAAGTGGAAACCACAGAGAGTCAGAAAATTCTTGAATATTTGCATCCCATGCTCTGTCAGCTCCACTTCTGGACGAAATTGCACACCAAACAAAGGAAGTTGCTGATGCTAAACTGCAGCGACGATATTTGCACTGCTGCGTGCTACGACCTTCAGCTGCGGTCCAGAGTCCGTGATCGAGTCACCATGCGTCAGTAGAACTTTTTCTCCTGAACCCAGTCCTTTAAAGAGTGGAGACGATAAATCCATCCATATTTCGTCCTGCCCGTCCTCTCGCACGGCTGCTCGGCCAACGGTTCCCCCGAAAGTCCGTGCCAGAAGCTGCATCCCATAACATATGCCAAGCAGAGGCTTAACCACCTCAAAGAGATCAGCGTTGAATTTTGGAGCATCGTCGTCGTATATGGAGCTTGGGCCGCCGCTTATGATGATGCCTTTTATGGCATGGTCGCCGCGAAGAACTTCGGTTGGGGTGCTAAGCGGCATAACACGCGATTCCACATTCAGTTCGCGAATTTTACTGTCAATCACTTTGCCGTATTGAGAGCCGGCGTCAAGAATGACTACGTACTCCCGCACGCTCCCTGGGCTGTCCATTTCTTTGGTGCGCGCAACAACAGCAACACAACTCGTCCTTCCCTTCTCCCTCTTTCCAAGCACCAAAAAAAAAAAAAAAAGACATCCAAATGACAGAAAAAAAAAGAAACTCCAAACAAATTCACGCCTCTATTGACACACTCGTGCGTGTGCAATGACAAACCCCGACAACAGTGCGGCAGTGTACTGGGCTCCTTTCAATCAACAGCATGCTTTACAAAAACACGAAGATGTTTACCGCCAAACTCCATGCCATTCATGTTTCCTGCCGCGGCCAAGGCGTCTTCCGCCTCCTCAAACTGCACATCTGCCGTACACTCCTTCCCCTCCTCGTTCCCTGTGCCGGAACACCGGGGCTCAAAGGATGCGACGTCACCAAAGGAGGAGCAAAGACGCAGAAGTGACTGTGCGTCAAAGTGAGAAGGAAGGCAACGAATACGTATTTGACTTGACATCAAACACTACCAAAAAAAATAAGCGAAGAATACTCACGCACCGAACACCTATGCCAAACACGCAAAGCTTCCACCGTCTCGAAGACCCAGAAAAGCAAGAAGAGAAAAAAACACCACAGAAAGGAGAAAAAGAAGCAAAATAATCAAGAAGATAAAAGAACAACAAGGCGTCATACATCATCCAATGAGCATCAGCCGTGGTGCCCCGTGACAGAACCCGACAACAAAAACGACGGCAACACACATTAAAAAAAAAGGAAATTGGCAGTAAGGAAATCCGTAGGGTTTTAAACCCGAAGAGCCAGAACGCTCGCACACACGCAGGGAAAAACCTTCTCTCCACCAAATACAACAACTACAACCTATGCAAACAATAAATAAAAAAAACTCCTTTTTTTTATTTTTAGTAGGATCTAATATTATATATATATATATAATGCAGAATAGAGAGTGTGAAAAGGGGAAACCTCCAAACAACTGAGTAGCACCCAGCCACTTCTCTTGCTCTTGTGTGAAAACAAATCATATATATATATAGGTCTGAAAGTGCAGGAGAACAGTGACTGTCTCTAACAGGAGATGAGGGCACGAAGTGCGTCCAATTCTTTCAGGGAATTGTCAAAGTGCATCGAATCCGCCTCCCTGATAGCCTCCGCCCATACTCCCTTGTTCTTTTCAGAAGCGTTGGCCTCTTCACTCAGCCACCTGCGTGCGTCATTTTTTTCCCTCCATCCACGCACTGCCGCCTCTAGCGCCCATGACTTCTTTTCGGCTTCTACAGACGCCACAACCTCCGAAATTTTACTTCGCACCTGCCTTGTTTTTTGCTGATGATCCACAAGTTCCTGTTGTTCCGCGTCCTCCAGCTTGCGAATGGCGGAAATTAGTTGCTGTTTACTCTCGTCCCGAACCTCGCGAAAGTCGCGCAGTCTCTCCTTTGCATCCTTGTCCTTCTCCTCTAGCTCTTGCAATCGCGTATTGGCCGCCTGCCTGCGCTTATCCAAAACGCACCAGTACTCCTCATTGCGCAGTCGCCGCTCATCCACCCTCGACTGCAGATCGGCTGTTTCCTTCTCAATCCGCAGAACTTCTTCCTTCTTGTCGGACACCTGGGCCCAGACAAGGGAGATTGTGTTCTGAATGTTGGCCTTCTCAAGGTCCCAGTCCTGGACAGTCTTGGCATGCTGTCCCTCAAGCTCCTGCAATCCCGCGCGTGTCTTTTCAAGCTCCGCATTCTTTTCCTTCAGTTCGTTGCTGAGCGCGCGCCATTTCTGAATGAGCTCCTTCACTTGTGAACCCTCCATCGGGAGAAGCGTGCGGCAGGCCCGTCTCGCCGCGTGTGTGTTTCGCGCAAATCTCTCCAGTAGGTACAAAAAAAAGGTGGGTGAAAAAAAAGAGAAAAAACAATAATTTGACTGGAAGTCGTGACGTAGCGTCCGGCGGCGTCCCAGAAGATGCAGAAGGCAAGCGATATGCCATGGTATCCCTCTCAGTTTGCAATCAATAATAAAAAAAGGGACACCTCTCCAAATGCAAGGAATGCTGTATGTGCGTTTCCTCCTCCCTTCCTTCTATCCCCTCCCAAAAAGAGTGATAGCTGTGCCCATAGAAGTCAATGCAATAACACGTATTTGTGGTGGGCATTGTTAACTTGAAAAAAAATAAAGGATTTACTGAGAGCAATATGACAAAAAAAAAAGGTGTCCAATACATACAAGACCGTTTAATTCTGAGCCTTTTTGTTTTTGTTTTTGTTTTTTTGTTGTTGTTGTTTTTACTTAATTTGATCTTGTCTTCGCCACCGTGAGGTCATTTGTAGAGAAAGCATTACCCTTCCTTAATATATATATATATATATGTATATGTATGTATGTATATTTAGTATTTGCTCCTTGACCCCCCGCCATCTGTAGTCACCGCTTCATCTCTCATCCATTTTTTTCCTTTCATTTCCTTGTTTTTCTTTTTTCTTTTTTTCATCTTTTGGCCATTCTCCTTTCATTCATTGACAAACTATGTAAAGCCGTTGTTACTGCCTTCTTCCCGTCATGTTCCTCACACACACACACACACACACACACCACTCTGATCATCAAAACACGTCATCCGTACATGACCGTGTGAGTCATGAACACGTTCAAAGTGGCAAGTAGGAAACAATGCTTTTTCTTCAACCCATATTTGCTCTTGTTTCTCTGAGGCGGGGCCCTCCCTCGCATTTTTACTTGTGCTTCTTTTCTTTTCTTTTTTTTTCTTTGTTCTCCCTATTCCATCGTGAATGGCCTCCACCACAAATCCCACATCTGATTTATCACACGCCCCGCCCCGTTTGTTTGCATTTCGCTAAACTCCAACAGCGCCTGTGTGCCTAAGGCAACCATGGGAGGCGATCCAGTGAAGTGTGTGTCCGGAATTAGCCGCAACTCCTCCCCCACCCGCAAAAAAAAAGGAAAATGGCAGCCGATGGAAAACAACACACGATACGGGCACATTGCATATTACACCTCCGAAAGGGCTCATAGCGGCTCGTAGGCCAATCCAAAAAAACAAATTCGCTACACGTCTTTTTTTTTTATTGTCCCCGTGACCGTTGGGAAATCACAAAGCGGCAGTCATTTATTATCCCAAGCAAGCAAGCAAAAAAAACTAAAACAGGGCCTCTCAACCCCGCACCCCTCGGCGCAGAAAGTAACGGCGGTTTTTGGGTGGTGGACTCCTGAGGAGAAAAAGTACCGCACTCGCCGCACACCGACGCAATGTATTTTTGCGGACAAAAATCAGGTAATCAACAAACAACACAAAAAAAACAAGTTATTTAACAAAAAACAAAGACAACAACAACAACAACACAAACAAAACACGCTATCATCTGCCTTCGCTCCTTCTGGGCACAAAATCATTGTAGAAGCCTAAATAATAATAATAATAATAATAATAATAATAATAACCATTGCGCAGCCAAAGACACAGAAACCATAAGCAAAACAGTGACCACCTACATGGCCTCCATTTCCACACCAACACCCACTCCTACACTCTATCCGAAAAAAGTAAAAAATAATTAAACCCCCATACCCAAAGTAAAAACGTACCCTACCCGCCAAAGAAATAAAAGCAAAAACGTAAATGAAGATCCTCACCAACCCGGGCGGGAGGGGACAATGAAAAAACATTCATCCTGTACCCTCTTGGGCGTCATATTCCACAAGTATAGAAGAAGCCCCTCTTGTATCCCTTGGCTTTGGTACGGCGACTGTGCTTGTATAACAAAAACTGCTCTCCGCATTAGGTCAATTTCATTGCCCCTACCGTACCGTTGATTACCTCTGCATTGTTTGCGTTCCGTGGATGTTTTCCTGCTGCTTTCTGTGGTGGCGAGTTTCCTTATGTGTGGGTTTCTGTTTCTGTATTTTTCCTTGTCCTCTGTGTGTTTATTGCCTCTCAGCTACCCGAGGAGTTGCCCGGGTACTCGCCTACCCGGGGCGTTTACCCCGGCCCCACGCGGCCGCATGCTGCGTTGAACACGTGCACGTTTCCACGCAGCATGGCCGCCAGGGTGTCCGCCACTATCATATCGTACGCATTCGTGATGGTGAGTCGGTGGTCCTGATTGCCCAGGATCCGCCGCAGCCACCGCCGACTTGCCGGGTGGATTGCCCCGTTGGTCAGCATGACAAATGGCTCAAAGTCCAGCCCGTTGGCCAGTGCCCAGTGACGGTACTTTTGTCGTTTTTGTGTGAGGCAGTCCCGTGCGGTGCGTAGTGGGTCTGCCTCGTCCATGGACTCCTTTGACACATATGCCGTCACCCTCCCGGCGTATGTGACGGTCACGTCGGTGATTACGTACGTGTCGAGTCCCACGATGAGGATGTCCGGTTGCTGCCGGCTTGCCTCCGTAAGGCGCGGTTCCATGCCGCATTGGAATCCGCATAGTCGCAACCCATTTGCAAACGTCATGTTGATCATGTCGTGGCGTGTGGTCCGCGGGTTTTGTTGGAGTCGCGTGCATGTGTGCACGTGCTCATTGGATGCGTCTGCCCCGCATATGCACTTCTGTCCCTCCGGCAGCACGCGCACCAGTAGTCGTTCCCGTATGTAGGTGGAAAAACCTCTGTCGTCCGCATGCACCTGCGGGTCCGTGAGGGGTCTGCCTGCTCCTGCCGCCGTGTTGGACACGAACACCTTGCGATCAGGACCCTGCAGGGCTTCGTAAAGGTCGCTTTGGTGCTTTGCATCCAACTTGTCGGTCAGGGCGCGTTGCTTCCCCTTCTCTCCAAGACACGCGTAGGCAAATTCCGCAATCTCCTTTTGCCGTCGGAGACCGCACCCTCCGCGGCGCACCGGGAGGGCCGCAATGTCGCGTGTGCGCTTTGTAACGGGTCCGTCCATGCTGACGCCCAGTACGCCTGTGACGCGGTCGTCAAACCACTCCGCCGCTGCTCTCGTGTGTACTGGGGCATGCGTCCGTAGGAGAAACGTCACGCGTGGCAGCGCCGACACGGACAGGAGCCGCCACTGCGTGTGTTTCGCAAATGGGAGCTCCACAATTGCTCGGAACAGGCGGTCTGTCTCCTCCGCCTTGCGTTGCACAAACTGCGTAATCAGCTCGCTTTCTGTGTCGTTTGCTATCCCCGCACCGAGCACGCGGGCAAACGGCCGGATGTACTCCGCGGGCATGTCCACTGGTCCGTCTGTATGGAGGACCTCCGTCTTGTCCTCGTTCGTCTCAATGCCCAGGGCACGCATCGCTCTGGATGTCGCCTCGCATACCTGCCCAAGCATGCCCGGTGGTGCCGCCGCAGTAACGTCGTCCAGGTACGCCGTGAAGCTGGCGTTGGGGAAGCTGCTTTCCAGTTGGCGAAGGGTGGCGATGGTGCCGATGGAAAAAAGCACCGGTCCCAGCACCATGCCTTGTCGCACTCCCCGCGTCGACGTCCACGAGTGGACCAATTGTCCCTTTTCGTAGAAGCCCACCAGCCCTTCCGTGCCCAGCAGGAGTCGTGTGACCTGCCAGAGTGGGCTCCATGTGGTGTTACCATAGACGGCGGATAGGATGGCCGTGCGACTGATGGCGTTGTACGCATTCCGGCCGTCCAACATGGCCACGCCGCCCTTGATGTGGAAGTCCTGCCAAACCTTCTCAATCGCCAATTCTGTGCTGTTGCCGACCCCGTATTGCAGGTTCTTAAAGCAGGTTTTGAGGGCTGGCATGACAGCGTCCACCGCCGTGAGTGATATAGCCTTTGCCCACACGCACTCGGCGCCGATCGGGCGGAACTTCTTGTTTGGCTTCCGCAGCACCGTGAGGTTGGTTGCCCTGAGGCGGTGTGCCACCTCCGGGGCCACGTTTCCGTTGGCCATGTCCGTCAAAATGGCGGTGATCTCCATGAGGAGCGCCTTGTCCTTCGTGAGGGGGTACACCAGCTCCCGTGTCCAGCCGTCAAGACCCGGTGCTGCGCCTCGCATTAGGCGGCTCTCAATCATCTTGGCCACGTCCTTGCTGTCGAACGTGACCAGGGGTGCACTGACGGCGGGCTCTGGATACACAGTTGTGGGTAGAGGTCGTCTAGGCTTTGTACCAGCTCGGGGGAGAAAGCCACCGGCTCCGCCTCCGCCGCCGTGAGGAGCGCTGCTGCGCGTCCCGTTGCCTGCAGTGTGCACAGTGTCTCTGCGCGTCTCGCCTTGTATATGTCGGACGCGGTAAGTATTTGCTCTGTCTGGTGGGCCGTCGGGTCCTGTTGCTTTTTCTCATCGCCGACCGAACCCTCCCCGTCTTTCGTGGTCTCCATAACACTCGGCACGACTCCTACTGTCGTGTTGTTGAAATGGTCGATTGGAGGATTGGTTTTATGCTGCTTGTGGTGGTTGGTGCGGGTGGATTAGCGACTGCGCTGTTTCTCCGGCAGTCTTAAGTGGTGTTGCACCAGGTCCATGATGGCCACTTGTTTGTAGCCTCATTTGTCCGGCGCCGAGGCGTTGTATCCCAGCATGACTGTGCGGCTTACATCCACTCAGTTGGACCACTCGCGCTTGTGGAGGTAACGTCTCGTGGGCACTCTTTCCTGCAGCCACGGGTCTTGCAGCGGGTCTGTGGCTGGTGTCGTCGGCCATTCCACGGAGGGTGCCCGTTCCAGACACGCCGCCGTCTTGGTAAAGTGGGATCCGGTAACCGACGCCCGGTACTCCTCCCGCTGTGTCGCCATGTTTTCCTTACAACATGTGTATTGGCCACAGCGTGGTCAATGTGCTGCCCGTGCTCGCAGGCTGGCCGAGCAAACTTCCCCGCACGCGTCACACCAAACCA